ATACTATGCTACTGACAGGTTTTATATATCTCTTTTTGAAACATATAATGTAGAAAGAACTAAAGATCAGTGTGCATAGAAAGGATTGCCAGAACTGTCACGACCTGAATACAGTTTTTGAGGAAAAAAGGGTTAAAATAAAATCAAGGAACATCATTAAATCAAAAGTACAAAAAAAAAAACCTTAACACATGCAATTAGTCTTAAAGTTATGAACAAAAAAGCCTCCATTATGTACTTGTAAATCTCAGTTTTACTTACTCCTTTTTACAGACAATTTCAAAGTCAACTGATTTGTGTGATTACGTCTTTAAATTATTTGGAGATTGCCAAACATCTGTTTTTAATTCCATATCAATATTAAAACTGAGAAATTTTCACATGTCCAACACTTAATTCACACAAGGCATCACTTGGTTAGCACATGAGAAAATAAACAAACAAATGCCAAATAACATCAACAATCCTCGAACTGAGAAAGCTTCCTGAATGGGAACTGAAACGTCTTCAAACTTTGAAAACAAAGTCAAATGGGTTTTTGTTTTTTTACTTTTTAATTTCTTTTTGGAATCAATAATCTTAACCTTACTTTTTAAACAATGCCACACACATTAAAAAATTTAATCAAAAGTGAGCTTTACCCATGGTAGGAGCTCCAAAGTGTAAAGAACAGATACTGAAGGAACTCAAAGAAGATTGCTGGAAGATGGCAGTCTTCTTTGAGCTTGTCAGAGCAGCAACCGCATATCAAAATCCACTACCCTGTTTACTTATGCTGTGGAAAATTCTGGGACAAACACCCACAGCTCCACTACACACCACACATAAATGCACAGCGGCACATAGTAGGAACCTCTATTTCACCTGTCTTTGGACTTTCGTATTTAAGATAGATGCTTCTCCCATCAACATTAATTAAACCTTCCTAATTTGACTTTTTCTAAAAGATCTTTATCATTTTTGTAGCAATACATCAGTCGTTCAGTTACGACTTGTGTTTTTAAGACAATATTGTTGTACATATGTACTGTGTAGAACAGTGTTTTACGGTTGTAACAGTGGCTGTAAAGGCCACGGAGAATACAATGGTCAACAAGAAACTGTAACTGTCAGCAATGGGTGGTGAGGTTGCTTGAGGATCCAGATGCAGAGATGAGTGAAGCAGAGATGAGTTCTAACAGATTTAATGGAAGAACACAGGAAACAGAGGTACAAATCCAGATATCCAACTAAAATGTTAAACAAACCAAAAACCATGGAGACATCAGGGGAAAACGAGCCTGAGGAGCCACGGAGAGACAAGCTGAGTAGACAAGTACAGCAATGGCAAGGAATCAGCACTGAGTGACTGCATAGATGGAGTATTTAAGGAGAACAGAACAAAGGATGTACTAATTAGCTGAATAAGGAGCAGGTGTGGGTGGAACTGGCAAGAAGGAATCCAAGGGGAAAGAAAACAAGCACAAGGGGGCAACAGAGAGTAACTAAAGAACGCTTGAATATGATGGAAAATAAAAAAAAAACAACTGATAACAGAAAACTGAAAACTCAGAGTCACAACAAATGGGAAGAACCATAACAGTAACGCATTTACCTCTGAGGTTTAGTCAATTAAAATTTTTTTCGTTCAAGTTCTGAAGTTAATGGAATGCACCTTTACTGTCCAATGTGAGTAGTAAGAGCTGCTGGTAGCCCCTCCCACTTCTTGAGCCATGACAGGTGGTTAGTGTTACAGTAACTCTATGCAGCATGTGTCCACATTGCATATATATCACTCGTTAGCAAAGCTGGACATTTACTCACTTATGATGTATTTAATTTTGTACATACTATCAAATGGGAAACTATAAACTACAAACTATACGTGGTATGTGGTTTTCTATTTGAACTTTAAAGAAATAAGATTGTAACTAACTGTGTATTCACACCAAAAGTGTCGTCTGCAGCAAAAGCTGTGGATTTACATTTTATTCCCATGAAATTGTAGCGGGCAAGAGCAGTGAATCGGCATGGTGAGAACAGAGCCGTCACGCTCAAAATCTAAACTGTACTGTGAAATTGTGCCACAAAATCAATCAGGGACTGGTTGTGGTTGTGACTTGGGTCATTTCTACTTTCAAAAGAATGTGAGCATGGACTTGTGTCCTCGCCAGGTATGTTCTTTACAAGAACACAAGGAAGTATGGATCCGGGGAGAACTGGAGCATGCAAAATAAATCTGGGCAAATTGGAACAGAAGCGTATTTGTGACATAACCAGATTCAAAACTAGTCTTGAATTGCATTTCACTTCTTCTTATTGTCTTTAACCTAATGCTCTGAACTCTTTGAGTGCTCCTCTGGAAGCTGCCGCTGATGCGGTACATGCTGGGACAGCTGTCAATCTTGAGAACAGACAAGTCTGCCCTGGTGCACAGAAGAGAGGGAGGGGAGAGAACAACATCTCGACCTTGTGTTCTTGTGAAGTGCAACAGTGCTAAGGATAACGCATTTCAAGAGCACATGAGAATGCACAAGTACACATATTCAGAAACGGCCTCATGTTATGGAGAGCAGCGGAGATGAGCCTTTTTTATTTATTTTTTTTTATTTTCCTTTTTAAGTTTTCACAGCTTTATATAAACATCAACAAAAACAAACAAACAAATAAACAAACAAACAAAAACAACCCACCCCAAATCAACAAGGAGCACTGCGGTGTTCACATAAAGGAGAGAGAAAACAAAAAAGAACATACATACATACAGCCCACATACACAAAATACAAACAGACATGGTTCAAAGTAGTCCACACTGTCGGACAGCCAAATGTGTGATATATTGAATAAGAAAAATAGAAAAGAGAAAATAACAAAAAAAAAAAAATTTACAGTTTCTGTAAAAAAGATTGCACCGGGTCCCATATCCTCCGGAATTTGTCCGACTTTTGATGAAGGTCACAAGTCAGTTTTTCAACTGCGACAATAGCAGACATTTGTGATAACCACATATCGACTGTAGGGGCTAGTGATGCTGACCACCTCAGTAATATACATTTCTTAGCCAGAAATAAGAGAATTACAAGCAAATGTTTGGTATCTGCATTAAAGAGAATCCCTGAAGTGTGATTAAAAAGACAGAAGGAGGAAGTTAGTGAGAACTGTTTACCAATAATCTCTTGTATCACCAGATGAACTGGCTTCCAGAAGATTTGAATATAGTCGCAAGACCAAAATAAATGAATAAATGTGCCCTTATGTATTCTGCATTTATGACAGATCTGAAGCATCAGGAAACATTTTCCGAAGGCGATGTTAAGCCTTTTTTCAATCAAAATAGAAAACAAATAAAATAATGCTGGAAAATTATGAAATAAGGAATGCTCTCAATAGGTTTTAAGGTGATCTTTTTAAGAAGTGGTTTTAGGGACCGTTGAATCATTCGTCATCCTAGCTCCACCTTCTGCCTCTCCCCAGTACTGATCTTCTCTGCCCAGACAAATAAAAAGAAGTACCATGGATTTTGAGAGTCATTCAAACGTCACTCTCTGAGCAGGTTTTGGTAGCAAACTCTACAAAGCTCAAAACAAGCTTTGTGATTCACTTGATAAAACCCCTGTATTAAAACTCCTGTCTGCCATATTGAATTAAAATTGGCAAGCATTTAGAAGCTCAAGCTCCTCCATGGTGAGCATGGTGAAGCCATCTGAAACATCCAGCGGTCAACTCCCTGCGGGGGAGAAGGAAATTACACCGGATGCAGCATTCGGTCTGAACCGACACTACACAAATTAAGTTTGTAAGTTTTTTAAATTTAACCAAAAGTTTATTTGTAGTTCTTAACATATCTAGAGCATTATTCACTTTGATTTGATCCTTCTAATGTTGATATTCTTCTCTTCTACAGCCTTGATATTCTTACAAGAACAGCACCGCTCTTCTTTTGATCTGGTCTGGTTTGACATGTACTAATAATAATTTATCTTTTTGAAAGGAGCTTAACTATTATTCTGGCCTTTTTGAAAATGAATAAAAAATATTAAACAGATAAAGCAAAATATATTACTTTATACTATAACTGACCTTGTTTTTTAAACTCACTACACTATGAGAGGGGATAATTATTTTTTGTCTTTGGTCTGAGACATTTCTTCCAAATACCTGAAGAAACATAAGATAGTATCACATTGATTCCAACTGCTGTCACACATGTTCACACTTCATTTTAATGGCACATAGAAAAAAAACCCCAAAAAATAAATAAATGAACAGTATTTATCCAGGCTGCTTCAAATTAATATACAAATTTCAGTTACATGAGCATTGCATGTTACTTGCCATGCACTGATGCACCACATTTGGGCCACTTCTAAAAAATTGCTGTAAATATTACAGCATTGACCGATGCATGAATTTGAAGGTAAAACTGATCCGGACCTTCTTTCAAAAATTGCAGGTTCTGGATCACTGCCGTTTTAGCATGACCAATTTCCTTTTCTAAATTTTTTTCAAACATGTAATACAGCATGTAGGACTTTCTTCAAACTGAACTAAGAACTAATGCCTCATAAACTACCAGACCTGGGGTCAGTTGTCTGAATGTAAAAAGAATTCCAAAAGATTTTCTCACTTTAAAATAAAAAGAAAACACACTAAAAAAAAACTAATTGATCAATGCTTCATTTACATGATAGAAAACTGCACTGACAAAAATATTCAGAGTTTCAAGATCAGAAACAATTCTTCATGAAAACAATGTTTAATCGATATAACCTTCCAGACAATAGCTTATTTCTACATCTGTCATGCTACTTCTGCTGTCACTGCCATCCCAAAAACACTTTTTTTATGTAAACAATAATCTGAGGGCTGCTTTTTGAGCCTCACATTAGTCTTGGATGTGCTCTTAATTCAAGGTTCAAACAAGTGAGCAGCAAGAAAAAGGATATTACCAGTCTTATATTTGTTTTCCAGATTCAGTACTTGTATGCAGAAGCACACCATTTTGTACATTTCTTTTTTTAAAGAACACATTTAGTGAGTGGCCTCCAGAATTATTTGGACAAAAGGAAAATACAGCTCTCTAAGCCTCACAGTTGTATTATTTTTACTATGTGGCAGCATAACAGAGAGTGATGTCTTCATTCATGTCTTCATACACCATCTGTCCATAACAGCCCATAAAGCCCTTAAAACCAGTGCAGAGTAAGCTTTTACATTTTAATATTAACAAGGTCAAATATGTTTAAAATACATACACTTGGTTTGAACAGCTGCATCTGGGCCACAGCTGGGATCCAAATATCTTTTGGAATCCTAGTATAAATTTCCTTATGGCGTCTTATTTAGGGTGTCACTGGAATAAAAAAGAAGCTCCCCCCCCCTCCTTTGAGCCATAGGAAAGGTTTTGCATAAACAGATGCATGACTTTTTTTCTTTTTTTTTTTTATAAAACATTCACTTATCCATTTGGGACTCTCAGTGTTCTTCAATTTTAGTTGGGATTTATGTAAGCTACCCTGCTTAGCAAAATATTACACAAGACGGCATTTGAGCAACAATCTGCAGAGGTGTTGCTCACTGTCTGTTTATATCTTTATCCGCTACAGCGTTTCCTCTTCATCTTCAGCTGCTACGCTTGTATTCATTACAGGCAGGTTTTCCTTCAATGAGATATCGTCCACTCTTTTGGGGCCACTGTCCTCAAGCTCTTCGGGTATGGACGGATCAGAGTTTGTCATCACATAGCCAGGAAGGGTGGCATGCACGTTAATCGAAGGAGCTCCTGTGCATCGATAAGTGCGACTAGAAGCAAGTGTGGTGGAGCGTGTGGAAATGCCACCACCGGCCAGGTGAGACTGACTACTTGTGCTGTTGTTGTTGAGACCGACAACCACAGAGCCGTAACGGTAACGGCCGCAGACCACTGGACCCTCCCACTCAAAGGCCAGGTTCCAGCGTGTCCATGTTTTCTTTATTTCTGTCTGAACCTGCAAGAAAGGAACAAACATGCAAAAAAAGGCAAGTACAAATGCATTCTCGTTGACAGAGAAACTGTTGATCACCTTAAGGGAAGGATGTAATTGAAACCAACTTAATACCCATGCAGGCCAGAAATAACCATGGAAATGACTTAGTTTGCAAGGAGTTAGCAAGTCTACAATGGGCCCTATGCATAAACGGTTATACCAGAAACATATTTCAGATATTCAATCAATGCAATTTTAGATGAATGGAATGAGTGTTGCCTACTTACATTAATTCCCAGTGTATGTATTGCTGACTGCGATCTCATTTTCCTCGCTACGTTGCAAAAAGCATTTGTACAAAAGTTTAGCAAAATTGCATTGTAGGCCTTGGATTTTTGTGTGTTGATGTAAATAATCAGGGTTATCCAACTAACAATTTAATGTTTTCCTTCTTTGCAATAATATAGAATGTGAAAAAGAAGCCTCTGTTGTTTGTCTTGGCTATCACCTGCTCCCTGTTTAGATATCCTGCAAATACTAGTCATTCAGTATCATATGTGTTTTTTGTATCTTGTTTGTATAATAAAATAGAACTGCATGAATATGTTTATACTTGAATCATTTAAGATTGCAGCAAAACAAGTGGAAAACATGATGTTAGTCTAACCTGTAAGGCATTTATTCACAACCTTTAAGACAAAATGCCTAAAGGGGTATACAAGTCAAACAAAGGTAGGGAAACACTGCTGTAAATTACCCTGATGCTATGTTCAGCCCCTCATCTATGGTCATTAGCTTTGGGTCATGACCGAAAGAAAGAGATCCCGGATACAAGCGGCTGAAATGAGTTTTCTCCGAAGTGTGTCCGGGCTCTCCCTTAGAGATAGATAGATAATCTGAGTCCCCCCCGGATGTAGAGCCGCTGCTCCTCCACATCGAGAGGAGCCAGTTGAGGTGGCTCGGGCATCTAATTTGGATGCCTCCTGGACATCTCCCTGGTGAGGTGTTCCAGGCATGTCCCACCTGGATGAGGCCCAGGGGGAGACCCAGGACGCGCTGGAGGGACTAGGTTTCTCAGCTGGCCTGCGAGCGCCTTGGGATTCCCGTGGAGGAGCTGGCTGAAGTGCCTGGGGGGGAAGTCGGGGCCTCCCTACTGAAGCTGCTACCCCCATGAACTGACCCCGGATAAGCGGAAGAAGATGGATGGATGGATGGATGGATGGATGGCTATGTTCAGACTGCAGGCGCTTCTGCTGCCTCATTTTAGATGCTGATTCACTTAAAGGTCAGATGCGCATCAAGAGCAGCTTTGTCGCTGTGTCCAGATGCATCTGATGCTTCTGCTGCTCCTGCGTTCAATTGGCAGAGAGCAGCTTTTCTATATTTGCTGTTATAAGTGGGAAAAAAAGTAGCTTTAATAAGAGAAAGTCCACCTTAAAAAGAACATATTTTGCCGGCAGGTTCCGACATTTTAAGTTGATTTAGGCATTCATAAACTGTTTCAGGGGAAGTATTCATAGCGATCTGCATCAGCAATGCTGTGTCTTATCCCTGTCAGCTCCCAGATCAGATGCTCTGAATGGTCAATGTGGTGTGTCGAGCAGAAAAGTTAAAATTTTCTGACTCCAACATCTGGTGCTTGTGCAGCGCGTGACATGCGCCAGATGCTCAGAAGCTCCTGAAGCGCTGCTACTGCTGCTCAAAAACGCGCTGTAGGACCTTTTGTTTTGCCTTGATGCTCGTCAACCATTGGCTTTGCATTTAAACTAGCTGCTTCTGCTGCCTCTAGCATTTGTGGTCTAAAAGTAGCATAAAGAAAAAGATGGGTAGCCAGTGCACAATGTAGGTGTATTGAGGACTACAGGTATTAATCAAAATGTGTATAAAAATCCATTTTGAAGGTATGCTCATTTTAGGCAATACCATAAATATTCAGGACTGGCTCAGGAACCAGGAAGTAAACGTAGGCTTGACACTGTACCCAAGTAGTTCTGCACTATACCACTAGATTTAAATGGTGAAACTTACATCCCAGGTGACAAATGAGAATAATGTTTTATTAATTTTATAGTAAATGTTGTACCTTTTGCTCCTTTAACCTATCTAACTCGGATTTGGAGAACATATATTAGGGTTGTTCCTCACAACCCTTTAGGGAGCACATTTAAACCTTATTTGTGAGTAAATACGCACAATATTGTTGTAATAAAGTGTGTTATCAGCATCAGAACCAGCTTTATTGGCCAAATTTGAGCATACAATACAATCATTTGACAATACTTTCACACTCACAAACTAAAAAAAATAAAAATATATAAATGAATGAGAGTGTTAATATGTTGAAACATATTGTCCAGGCATGTCAACAGATGTTACTGGACATGATGCTGGTATTGTTTTTGTAAGGACACACACACACAAGGAATGCACACCCTAGTGCTAGCATTGCACATTAATTTTGACAGACAGATTCTCCAGCAGCTGCCTGAAACACATTGTTGCACATTGCTAGTGACAGTGCTTGTTCTAGATATGTCAGCTTCTTTCTGAATAAAACACTTGTTGATCTGAGGTTTGCATGTGGACTAAATTAAATCTATATCAATACATTAATTTTCAAGGGTGGGGGGGTTACTATCTTTGATAGAAAACTTTACAGAAATCATACTTTTTTCTGCTAGCTGGTTTATTTTAAAATATTGTACACTGGGACTGCTTTTCTCAGAAAAATTAAGCAAAAGCTTTGGTGGTGACTTTCAAGTTTTGTAGCCTGAGTTGTCGGCCATTGACAACTGGGATAGGCACCCCTTGCGATCCCAGGTGGAATAAAGCATGACCGAAAATGTATGTATAAATATACACACACACACACACACACACACACACATATATATATATATAATATAAGTGGCTTAAAATTATATTGTTTTATCACCGGATATGCTATTGCAGATTGACAAAGTATTGTAGTATAAACTTTAAAGAAGATTATCCAGTTATACAAGGCAGAAACATTTTTTTTTTTACTTTTGCTCATTGCTTGTGTCTTTAACTGGGGTTTAATAGCAATTTTGGCCAATATTTTAGCAACCTATAATTGTCTTCTATTTCTGCGTGCTTTTAGCTTTTCCCTCTTCTAAATGTGCTTTTAGAAGAAAATGTCGACTCACCTCTCCGTTGCAATAGCAGTAGATAATGGAAACAAAGAAACCCTGAAAAAAAGAGATATACATCTTTATAAGCAAAAGAACAATTTATTTTACTGTATAATTATAATCAATTATTTCTATTTGAGTGCAGCAGGAACAGTCTTAATCAATGAAAGATGTCAAGAGCACCTAAGAACAAGCTGCAATCGACTTGCTTTTCATGATAAGAAAAATCCTCCTTGTGATGATCTCTCAGCTCCAATCCTTTATTTGAAATCTGTTGTCACACTCTTAGATGTTAAAATCGATGCTGGACTTAGGTTTGATTACAATTCTTATGTTGATTTACATTTCTAAATGAGACTTGAACTTATTGATCTAAGCTTTTATAATCATGGGAGGTTATAAATGCATGGATGACTTAAAAAGAAACAAACCTTAGCCAGGTCACTCTTGCCGATCCTCAAGTAGCCCAAAATGTGGTTGTTGTTTTTTTATTTGTACAAAACCTATTTCTTCAGCGGTCTGTTTCATAAAGCAGATTTACCAAAAATAAGTTGTCTAAACCTGAAAACAGGGAAACTCTAACTTTTCCAGTTCACAAAGAGAGTGATTTCAGTCACCATAGAGCGAACCTGGTCAGCTACAGGTTTTCTTCAGTAAACTCAGTGTCCTCTGTCTCTGCTCTCCTTACAGCCTATCACGTTGTTTTATTTCCAGATTTAGTCAGATTTGTGTCGTAGTTTTGTGCATACATAAATATATATATATATATATATATATATATATATATATATATATATATATATATATATATATATATATATATATATATATATATATATATATATATATATATATATATATAGATATATATAGATATATATAGATACATATATGTATATATGATTCACTAGGTCCGTTAGACAAATTTGGTTTTAAAAACAAACATTGCATCTCCATTTGACAACAATCTTATTAAAGAATGAGTGACATTTTCTCACGGAGAATTAAATATTTATAGGGAGAGGATTCTACACCTGAGTTGACAGGGACATGAGATTACTTGTTTTTGGTGTGTTTAATATGAGCGAGATGCAGATCATTTTATTTCTATTTAGCTATATTTACAGTACATTAAGAACTACTGTAATATGCGATCAGAGGAGAGATCCAGTAGTGCATCCTGCAGTTCTGGTGACTGGTGATGTGTAGTGTAGGCAGTGAAAGGTTGCCGTATTTAGTTGTACCTTTTTGCCATATCATGATCCGAGGAATGCTTATTGAATCTTTCAAAACTAAAATTGCTTTTCAATGTTTTCCCCTAACCTAATAGTGTGCTACGGTCTTCAATATGCCAAATAAAAAAAACTAAATCTTTTTAAGCATTGCTTTAAAAGCTTAGGATCCTGATAAACAGCGTGTAGATTTTTTTGTTTTTCTGTCTTTCAATGTTTTTATGCTGCAACCACAGACCATGATAAGCTATTCATGTGATACAGTAAATCAACACAAACTAGAGTGAAGACAATAAATGATTAATGTTTTATGGTCCTGGTACAGTATGTCTCTACCAGTCTTGTAGACATAGAGAGAAAATGTACATATTCTTTGTAAAACAGCTCAGTTTCACTAATATCAAACTGAAGCAAAATACAGAGAACATCAACTTTTTAAGTCAATGCTACTGATTCTTTGATTTATATAGGTCGGAACATTAGATCAGGCTATTCTAATAATTACGCTTTGATCTAAACCATTCCATTATAATCCTGACTATATGATTGTTATCCTGCAGGCAGTTTAAAGTCTTCCTAAGTTTCAAGTTTCTTTTTTCTTTTCTAATAAGTTTATTTTAAAGGATTCCCATCTTATTAACTCCATCTATGTTGCAGTCATCTATGGCCAGCTTCCCCTTCCCTGCTAGGGAAAAAAGCCAAAAGGCTTAAAACAAATTCAGCCTGTCCTCTGGATTTCACAGCCAACTGAGGGCCAGACCAAGAGAGCTAAGTCAGAGGTCAAAACTCGGCATGATCTCTGAACCTGATCCCATCAAGTGGTCTGATTATCTGCCTTGGGTTGAACACAACATTACCTCCCTGCCAACCAGTACCACTGGTCTTTACCCTTTTTATGGTTTTTGGTTTTCAGCTACCAGTGTTCACCATCCAGGAAAGAGAGGCCAACGTTTCATCCACCAGCATAACCTTTTGTGTGGTAGACCTCGGCGCCACGCAATGACGCAATCGGCCTTAAAATCGTGACTTCAGAGGAAGCAGCCCATAAATTCGAACACACCCATTATCTTCAGTCTTCTCTAGGGGTACCATCATTTTTGTCCAGGCCTGTTTCATTTCATTTATCATATTTCTTTTTTTTCTTTAAGAAACTCTGTTGAAGCATGGTTGAAAAGCAGTGTCTAACATTTTAATTCATTATTACTTTTGTCAGATTCCAGTTATCTCTGTGACCATTTTCGGTTTTCTTTCACTTGGGTACCAATGATTTTGTCAATGTGTGCAAATACATCCTTTCAAACAACATAAATTAGGCTAAAAGTTCTCAAAGGCCAGGATGCAAAGAAATTCCCAATAAGCCACCAAACTATTTGTGCTACCGTTGGTGACAGCAGCCATCACGGTTTGTGTTTTGTAATACCCTGCAATGAGCCTTTCCCATCACCACTAAAACGGCTGACACATTCTTCTTTGCAGAATTGTTTTAATTTTTCTCTTCTCCTCTAGGAGGTTTAAGCTAGTTTAAGGTTATATCACAGCATCTCAAAATTAATTATTGTCTGTGCTTTGGCTAGGCTGTTTAAAAATCATAGTTTGTTTTTTTAAATCGTTTTATATGCAGACTTTTTAATGATCTTTGAATAATTGTTCTGCTAAATAACTCATTTGTTTTAAGTTGAGAGGTAAAACCAATAGCCAAACAATCTCGGTAATACTACCACAACCGTGTTTGAGCCCTTGACACCCATTGTTGTAAATATGCAGGTGGGGCACATGTTCAGCACTCTTAAGACAAAGGGAGGGGTACCTCCTGGACAGGTAGCCAGCAAAGTAACATGAAGGACAAACAACAACGAACTCAAACCTAACAGTCATGCGGAACATAGTAACATGTTTAGAGGGTGTAAAGCAGCAATAACAGCAAATCTATGACATCCTGTCAGACACTTTTTCTTTGTCATCATAAAACTGATTCAGGGATACATCTAAAATATCTAATGTTATAATACAGCTTCAAATGTGAGGTTACGCACTTACAATTCCCTAAATATTCCTTCTTTTTTTAAAAATAAATGAGCTTTCAGGCCGACATCTGAAATGCGAGTGAAGAGATTTTATTTCTGATCTAAAGCAGTGAATGAACTAGATTCATGAAGCATTTTTACAATGTCTTTCCCAGTTATAAGTGCTTTTGGTGCAAAGGGCTTTTGTGAATTCTGAGCACTGAGAGCATTTCTCTATCACAAAGATTCACACAAAGAGTCACAGCCACTCCAATTCCTCCCTAACTGCGTCAAATACAAAAAATTTACATCTCATATCTGGCTGAGGGATGGTTTTTTGTTGTAAATAGGAAAGGAAATATAATTTTATACTGTCGGTATTTTGAAAGTAAAACATTTAAATCTCCTGAGGGACAAGTAAACGTTCAGATGGTGAACAAAAATATAGTTTTTGCTGTTTTTAATTCATTTAACTTTTAGTGATGTAGTATTTTTTTTATCAGATCTAAAGCCTATTAAACTTTATTCTGCCGACTGGTTTTAATATCGAAACTTAGTGAGGGGTAGTAGTGATGTCCCTGCAGAAATTAGGGTTTGAGTGAGAATAACAACGTTGGTTAGAACATTTCTGTTGAAATGGAGAGTTTTTTTTGTTTTTGTTGGATTAATTGTACAAGTTATTCTACTTTAATCATATTATACTTATACATTCATATTTACACATTTGCATATTCCTGTATACTTGTATTACACAAAGTGTTGAAATGTTTCACTTGCTGTCTTTCTAATGCTTGTTATTAGTGTGTTCAGGAAGCAAGGTCAGGAGAATGGAGGATTGCACTCACTAACACCGGAGAAAGGAGTGAAAGCCTTCTTATCTCATGATACTGTATGATGTTATGCAGACTTCTGGTTCCGACTGGGTTTCACCCCTCCCTTCAGCAGTCGGAACCAACATTGTAGTTAGGGCGTTTCCTTTAATAAAGGCTTGTGAGGGCAGAGCTGTTTCAGAGTGGTTTGGAGAATTGTAACTGAACAGTCTCTGATCACTCTCCTTGCAAGTAAATCATACTAAAATTCTCTGTGTCTTCCTTTGTACAGGTTACTGAATAAAATGTTTGGTGTTTAAACCTAACATTAATTGGTCCTTCGAGCCGGATTGCAAGATACCCGACGACCCCCAGCAGGTGAGTGAGATCCAGATAAGCCTGCGGCCGCAGCAAAGAGACCCTTTACGGGACTGGTCTCTCCCTTACAGGCTGGGGTCCGACGGTTGAAGCATTCCGAGGACGCAGAGAATTGTGAGTAGTTTTTCTTTTAATAAGGAGTGAGTGAATTATTGGAAGAAAAATATATAAAAATATAAAAAATGTATAAAAATATAATAATATATAAAAAAAAAAAAAGATAGAAGTGAAGGGCGTGGGGTCACGAGATTCCCCTTTTGAAGTCCTCTCAGCGTGGGGTCACGAGATTCCCCTTTTGTACTAAAACCCTGACAATTCTAGACTCTATCAGGTAAAACAGAAATTTTAAAACAGTTAAAGTCCGTGGGAGGGCAGGCTCCCCTAGTTTGTAAGGGCAGGCTCCCCGAGTTGTAAACTAGTTAAATTCTGCATAGGATAGCGGCGTCCTCTGTGTTTAAAATAAAGTAAAAGTTAACTGCGCAGTGTGTGTGTGAGTGTGTGTGTGTGAAAGGAAATATAGATATCACTAGATATCTGTATTTCATACCAAAAAGACAAGGGTTAAATGGTGAGCTTTTGTGGATGTTTGTAGACAAGAAAACTCCACCTCTAAAGGTTGAAGTGAGTTTTACCAC